CCTCCCAATTAGATTTGTAAAGAAAATGACTTCAGATGCAAACACATCCTCATACTCAATGTTCCTATTCATTCACCAGGCTTAAAGAATAAAAGCTCACCTGAACTTAGATGCAGCATGTACTCTATAGCCAGGTCTGGTGCACAATCACTGACTAGGATTATGGAGTGCTACAATATCACACTCCCTGTAGGGTGATTACTGGAATTCGCTAAAATCAAACTTAAGGCTGAACTGACTTTTCAAAATGTGATTACTTACTAAGGGTTAAGTCCAATGAGGTACCTGTCACCTCATTGACTTATCTCTTATTTACAACTAATACTTTAACTGAGCTCCGGAAGCACAGCTATCACTATACTCCCAGGCACTCTGACAGAAGCAATACTACTCACACACAGCAACTCGGCCTGCTCCTACCCTCTGCTGTCTATTCACAGAAGGCTTTGTATTCCATATTGTATTACATAATACAAAGCACTGTGCGATTAGGCAGGAGGTGGAGAGGGGTGGGCAGACCAGCTGCGGAGGAATCTGCCGCTGAGGTCCAGTGTCAGGACCCTGGAAGTATAGCGACAGGCAAGTCAGTAAAAAAGTAATTTGTAAATTAAAATGAAAAGTCCATAACGTGGCATGCACCTTGTTGGCCTTAAAGTGGCAGTAAAGTTTCTTTTCTAAAAAAATTGCTGACAGACAGGATATTTATGACAGAAGAGACCCTATCCGTCTCTTCTGTCATAAATGCTTCCTCCTGTCTTTCAGCTGCCATGTGCAGCTCAGCGAACATTTGAGGCCCTGATCTGTTCTGCTGTGATGTGACTCCTATGCACATGCATGAAAGTGACATCATCGTGGGCCGGCCATTCAAGCAGCCAAAGGTTCAGAACCTGTAAGGAAGACCAGGTGAAAATGGAAGTGGCCGGGATCTGGCAGGTTGATCACAGTGCAGCGCTGGAGGGCTTGGTTTGACAGGGAAGTGTGCCATAATGTGCCAATATGCTGTGTATACATTATGGCATAACCCACCTGGGGGTCCCTAAAAGAAGTAATGTTAGTGGAGTTTACTTTATCCACAGTAATCCAGTCAAATAGCCACCCGCTGTAAGAATGCAACAGCTAATACTGCAGATTCCTCCATCTAGGCTGTATAGCATGGATGAAGGTATCTGTTAGGCTGGCCATACATGAACATTTTTTTTTTTTCAACCAGCCAATAGGCTGATTGAAAAACAGGAACAGATTCCCCCATCCACACAAGCAAGGTGGATAGAGGAATCCTCCTTGTGTTATTTTATTCTGACAGCGGGCACTCCTCTGCTGTCAGAATACTCTGATCAATACTGCAGTGCTTTCAAATAAAAAGTCAGGTTATGAGAAGTTGATCACTGGACTGACTTCTTATGAATAGGAACAGTAGATGGATTGAAATTTCAATCTTTGGCCAATTTTCGACTTTTCACTTAGCCTGTGGGTTAAATAAGTTCACCGTTCATAACATGTCACACCCATATTCAGGGTGTAACATGTTATGAAACGACCGCCCCCCGCTCCAACAGCTAGCAGGTGATGCCCCCCGCTAACTTTCAACATTTTTAAAAAACCACGGCCCTGCCAACCTGCCCACATTACTCATTCACAGTCCTCTGTGAATAGGAAAACTACAAGTCCCAGCAGCTATAGCGGTTGTTGGCTTGTGGTTCTCAATGAACTACCACAGTGCTGTGGTAGTTCATTGATTCTTCCTGTCAGTGTATCAGCTTGCTCTAGCAGATATACTGACAGATCTGCAGAAGAACTGCATGGCACCAGCGATCTGCTGATTGCTGATGCAATGCTTTACATGCTCCTTCAACAGAAAACAAAATGCACATTTTTTTTTTTTTAACCTGCAAAATAATGTGCATTTATTATTTTTTGTCAAAAGGTGAACTTATCCTTTTAAATAAAAAAAAAAAAAAAATAAAGGACAGCTTCAATCTTACAGACCTGACAATATTCTATATTGAAATGATCTAAAGTAAACAAAACAGGAATTAATTCAATGATTGTTGCATGAATCACATAAACAAATCAGATTAGATTGTGGTTTAAACAGTTGTAGATATATTTTATACTGTAATTGTCCTGTGTGAGAAATAGTTTGTACTGATAACACTTCTTTACAATGATTGACTGCACAGAATGAGTTTAACGTAAACAAAAAAAAACAAATCAAAAACATTTTGATTGACATCTCCTATTTTGCACCATCAGTGATTTGGTTTACACCTAGACTTTTGGAATGTCCTTCATACTCAATGAATACTTTTTGTATATTTAAATGACATTTGTCAAAACTTCTCCAAATCCATTAATCTACAGCAAGCTCAAGGATCAAAGAACCTTATATTTACAACCTACTGCTGAATTTGACCGCCTGCAGTTGTCGTACCCGGATCTGCAATGAATAGAAATTCCTGTAGGGCACACTGCATGTTTGTGCAAGTCCGCATATCAACAGAGAGAATTCAAATGTTATTTGTATTTTCACTGATATACATATCTACACAGACATCCAATCCAGGTCCGCATATCAACAGAGAGAATACAAATGTATGTATTTTCACTGATATGCATACTACACAGACATCCAATCCAGAAGTCCACATACAGCCAAGGACAGCTATCAAAATTGAAGAATGGTGGTGTTAAGGACGTGATAACCTTTAGTCACGGGGCTTGTTTACACGAGTCGAGTCCTGTGATTTTTTTTTTTTTTTTTTTCTGAATCCAATCAACATAGCTTAATAAAATGGTTTTCTATGTGCTCTGTTCACACCACAATACTGGCTTGAGGTGGGTTGCAGTGCGTAGTGTAAAAATACAAGTATGTTATGTTGCAACTGCATCTCTGTTGTGGTGCATAAAAATGTACACTGCATTTTGACATTCCTATAAATAAATTTTTTAAAAAAAGTAAACCGACACCAGCCTGAACACTAATACAAAATCTTTTTTAGCATGTGGACTGGTGTGAGTGAGTCCCACTGCTATAGGCAGCCAACATAAGGAGATCCTTCTGTGTCAGTTGTAGGATTATACAAAAATACAAGAATTTATAGGACCAGGTGCACCATACCGTCTCAACATGATCCCATAACCACCACAAAATAAGCCTATGAATAGTGCCAAATAAAAGAAAGACTGGTTACATATACACAAGGATGAAAATCAAGTCCTTCCGTGGTTTCTCCAATCACCATTTAAACTGCATTAAACTGTTTTGGGAGGTTCAGGAGCACAGAATGTAGAATAGATTGTCCTTTTTCATCCCCCCCCCGTGCTCCTTTTAACATTAAAGCTGTTCCTGTTTAAGCTATAGGGGCAAATGGGGCCCTTCTCATGTATTATAAAATAGCATTAAGCCTTTCATTTATTATGTAACATTACGTGTACAAAGCCTCTCAAAGGAAAACACGAAGGCTGCAATTTCTGACCTCTTCTTTAAAAGATACTAGCTCCCTGGCTGTCGTTATGTTACAGTGGCTTCAAGACTTCAGAGTCACTGACGCATAATAATTTAGCAGATAAACGTCTTCTGCATTTCCTGATGTGGTAATGAAGTTTTGGGATTGTGAATAAGAAATGATTGAATTCAAAGTATCAGCAAAACAACTTGTTTACCACCATTTTCAGAAAGAGGTCAGTAATGGCAATCTCCATTTCATTCTCATGACCAGTTTACTTTTCTTCCATACTGAGGCCATCCATCAGCATCTATGATACGCATACTTTGTACTTCAGTGCTTTTAAGTTTCTGTGGATTTCCTTTAGCTCACACCCAGAATCCAAAAGCTTAGTCTTAAAACAATCGTTTTAGAGCACTCTGCCATTTCTGCCCTTCTGAGAATATTTTTTTTTGGCTTTGGTACAGTGATCCCCTAAACTCCACCCAGACACCTAAATACATACCGTATTTGCCGGCGTATAAGACGACTTTTCAACCCCTGAAAATCTTCTGAAAAGTCGGGGGTCGTCTTATACGCCGGTATACGGCGAGCCGGTGTGTCAGGGCGGCACTTTTTCCAGGGGTGGTGTCCTCCAACGGACACTAAGTACAGGGGTGGGCAGAGGGGCTGCTGTACCTTACCTGGTTCCGGTCCCACGATGATCCGGTCCGGGAAGCGCGGCTGCTCCTTCTTTCAGTTCGGCCGCTCGGCTCCGCCTCCTCACCGGTGATTGGGCGCCAGCGCACACAGGCGACCAATCACCGGCGAGGTGGCGGAGCCGAACGGCCCCGCGAAAATCAAGCTGCCGAACTGAAAGAAGGAGCAGCCGCTCCTCTCCCCCACTGACACTAACGATGGGGCACCATTCCTCCTCCACACTGACACCAATGATGGGGCACTATTCTCCCCACTGACACCAATGATGGGGCACTATTCCTCCCCACTGACACCAATGATGGGGCACTTTTCTCCCCACTGATACCAATGATGGGACACTATTCTCCCCACTGACACCAATGATGGGGCACTATTCCTCCCCCACTGACACCAATGATGGGGCACTATTCCTCCCCCACTGACACCAACCATGGGGCACTATTCCTCCTCCCCACTGACACCAACGATGGGGCACTATTCCTCCTCCCCACTGACACCAACGATGGGGCACTATTCCTCCCACTGACTAATGATGGGGCACTATTCCTCCCACTGACTAATGATGGGGCACTATTCCTCCCACTGATACCAATGATGGGGTGCTATTCCTCCCACTGACACCAATGATGGGGCATGATTCCTCCCACTGATACAAATGATGGGGCACTATTCCTTCCACTGACACCAATGATGAGGCGCTGTTCCTCCCACTGACACCAATGATGGGGCACTATTTCCTCCCACTGACACTAATGATGGGGCACTATTTCATCCACTGACACCAATGATGGGGCACTATTCCTCCCACTGACACTAATGATGGGACACTATTACTCACACACTGACACTACTGATGGGGCACCATTAGTGTCAGTGGGAGGAGTAGTGCCTCATCATTGGTATCAGTGGGAGGAATCATGCCCCATCATTGGTGTCAGTGGGAGAAATAGCACCCCATCATTGGAATACCATACTGAAATAGCATACCATATTGAAATCAAATCTGATGTTTTTTCATTTTTATTTGGTGTGCGTTGGAAGAGGGGTAGTCTTATACGGCGAGTATAGCTCAAACCCTATATTTTAACAGGAAAAGTAGGGGGTCGTCTTATACGCCCAGTCGTCTTATAGGCCGGCAAATACGGTAGCTGAAAAATAGTAAGGCAAACTGTTTTACTTTGAAACATACCATTCAGCCAGTATTGTGATTCTTGCACCTCAACCATACTATACAAGCCATGTGTAATGGCACTAATTGCTACAACAGATCTGTAGCTCCCTGTCACTCCTTCACCCTCAGCCTTGTTGCTGGACAATGAATCAACATCATTCTGGTGAAGTTCTTCCATTTTCTACCCATTCTTTTAAGTACTATTAACAACCTCTTCCTCCAGCTATCAGTGCTAAAACATGTTGGGACCTATTCACATGAATGCATTACAGTTAATGCACATTACACAAATTAACGCATTGAAGTGCCAGTTCTATTCAATGAAACCCCATTACACCTGCAATGTAACACATCATAATGCACTCTGAAGTCCACTCAGCTATCAAAAAGGTGGAGGTCCAATTTTTGGTCCATTGGCAACCTATTCAAATGAATAGGCTGCTTTACTGCACCGCGCGACATAACATATGTCTGCAACAGACTGGATAGGGGTTGATGGGCAATTAGGATGACAGCACTTTGAGTGATTGGTCCGCAGCGTATATCCTTTTATTCTCTAGAACCTTTTTTTTTTTTTTTTTTTAAAAGGGGGTTGTTGGAATTCCATATAAAAAAGGATTTCAGGTACCGTATATACTCTAGTATAAGCCGAGTTTTTCAGCACATTTTTTGTGCTGAAAAACGGCCCCCTCGGCTTATACTCGAGTCAACGTCAGGGAGCACTTTTTAGGGGGGCGGCGCGGTGCTGCCGCCGTCCCCCCCTTCCGACGGAAGGGACACCAAGTACAGGGGTTTGCAGAGGGCTGCAGTCTCTTACCTGGCTCCGACGATCCATCCAGGAAGCGCTGCTCCTTCAGTCACTCCGGCCACTCCCTCACTCCTGCCGCTCGGCTCCGCCTCCTCACCGGTGATTGGCCGCCAGAACTGTAGCTCAGGAAAGGCATACAGGCGGCCGATCACGGGCGAGGAGGCGGAGCCGAGCGGACCCGCGAAAATCGAGTGAGGGTAAGTGTGCAGTGCAGAGGTGCTGCTGCAACCACATATGCTGGCTGCAGCAGTACCGAACTAGAACAGGAGTCAGCAAGTGTCATTGGTGTCAGTGGGAGGAATAGTGCCCCATCATTGGTGTCACTGATACTAATGATGGGGCATTATTCCTCCCACTGACACCAATGATGGGGCACTATTCCTCCCACTGACACCAACGATGGGGCACTCTTCCTCCCCCCCACTGACACCAACGATGGGGCACTATTCCTCTCCCCACTGACGGAGTACTATTCCTCCCACTGACACCAATGTTGGGACACTATTCCTCCCACTGACACCAATGATGGGGCGCTATTCCTCCCACTGACACCAATGTTGGGGCGCTATGCCTCCCACTGATACCAATGATGGGGCGCTATTCCTCCCACTGACACCAATGATGGGGCGCTATTCCTCCCACTGACACCAATGATGGGGCGCTATTCCTCCCACTGACACCAATGATGGGGCGCTATTCCTTCCACTGACACCAATGATGGGGCGCTATTCCTGCTAGTAGGTGCCTCATTTCCCACCCTCGGCTTATACTCGAGTCAATAGTTTTTCCCAGTTTTTTGTGGTAAAATTAGGTACCTCGGCTTATATTCGGGTCGGCTTATACTCGAGTATATACGGTAGTTACTTTAGCAATATTGGAATATCAGTTTAAAGAAGTTTGAATACATAACCAAAATAAAAGGTGTCTTCTAAGTTGCCTGGAGTTTCAATTTAATGTAAGATAGCTTTGGCTATCCTTGGCATCTTTACGACCATGCAAAGGAGAAAAGACTGTAAAAGCCTCTTGTGGGCAGAGGCTGATATGAACAGTTCAACATTACATGTAGTAAAATATAGACAACCATAAAATAAAGATGCCTGTCACTCTTCAAATAATAGATGAAAATCAGAGGCAAATAGGGTTCTTTCTATAAAACATTAAGAAATGTGTACAAAGTTCTACATTTTTTGTACATTATAAAGGGCCTCACATTATTTAATAGAAAAGTGCTCAGTCTTCGTATTTTTTTTTTTTTCAAACACAGAAATCAAAATTATTCTGATGTTTATTGAAAAAGGCTAAACAAAGGTAAAGTCCATCGTTTGGGATTTTTTAATGTGCAAACTACTAATCAATGCACACCTGCCTGTTTTGCTATACTGACCACATGCATGAATAAATGTAACAAAAATATATTTCCATTGCACAATCAAAGCTTTCATTGTGGGAAGCTGAGATGGGAACCATCTGATTACAAACCACTGCATGAACCTATAATCCTTGAAAACGGAAGAACTAATAAGAGGTATGCATTAGAAATGGAATCATATACAGCAAACTCTTATAAAATGGCTAGATTTGCCAAGAGATTTTTTTGGGTAGGGTTCAGGAAAAGCATCTTTTATTGATTCAGCAAGAATCGTACCCCTGAAAATATCAACTGTCTGTGCTGTGCATAAAAGGTGATAATAAAAGTGACCATGCAAACTGTGTTGCTGGAGCTTGCCTTCGGTGACCACTAATATACAATGGAACATGTCTACAATGGCCTTCGGTGCCACTATTATGGAAGAGCTGGACCTGTACAATGTAGAATTCCATGGATTTCTGGGATGGTTTTCTTTAAAACAAACAAGATTTTGCCCATAAATAAAACCAAATACATTGTTATGAACCTTTATTAGGTGGTTCACATTTCAGTATAAATCACACTAAAAAGATTTTAAAAAAAGCTATTTACACTACAGTGCTGACACCTTTAAAATGAAAAATCGATATAAATAAGCTCTATGGAAAAGCCTGAATTGTCAAAAAGAATTCTGGCTCATCTTACAAAAAATATATATGTTAATGTCAGCTCTATCCTAGAACCAAAACTGAAAACTTTAGAGAGACTTTATGTTAAACCTGCAGTGCAGTGTTTACAGTGCATCTGGCCCTAAGTGCTTTGATATTTCACAGTTACGGACAGGCACTGAGGAATGTTACATCGCTACATAACTAGATTCAGTAACAGACTACAGGGCAAGTGGAAGCCTGCCCCATGATTTACAAAGCTTTACATTATTATTACGTTATGTAGAATATAAAAAACAAACTATATATACACATATTTTAGCACAGATGTTCCTCTTCTGTCCGCACAACTGGGTTTGTTGTTATAGGTTGTGGAGTGTCCTCTTGGATGTCTCTTGAGTCTTGCTTAATGATTCCCAAAGTCTCGCTTCCAATCTTGCCTTGTGATTCCTTGGCATGATCAGATTTAATTGTGCAAGTCTGACATTCTGCAGGAGTCATGGAAATAGTTGGAAGGTTGATATTGCCAAAAGTATCACCGGTTTGGTGGGGAGACACGGGTTCATGTTTTACTTGCTGAGATTTTTGCTCAAGGTCCTTTGACTGCCTGATGTCTGAAAACTGTACATGAGAGGTGTGTGTGCTCACAGCACAGAATGTATGCTCTTCTTTTCCAATGTTAGGTTTCACCTCAGTTTCTGAAATCGTTTCTTCCAAGTTACAGTTCTGTGCCATTTGTGCATTGTACATTTTCAGTCGAATATGCCAGGCCAGGCTGCACACTGCTGACACGGTCTTGAACTGATGCACAACATTTCTTGGAATAAAGTAGATGTCATCATCATATAACTGAATCTTAGCATAACGAATGCCTTCCCTGCGAAGCTGGTTGAGTTTTGCATCATCAACCCACTGAACACACTGAGGAAAAAAAAAAAACAAACAAAAAAAAAAAATTTTTTTTTACAGACTTTTTTTTTTTTAATGCACATAGGCAAATCACAAATATAAATCTTTGGCCAGCACGTTTTTTGAGCTTCAGGCAATTCTTTACCAACTACATAAATATTTATAATAAAAGGGACAGTTGTAATCCTTCTCCAACCTCTTTATATCATTATACACTTACAGTGATTGTAAAGCTTTACATTTTTTTTTTTTTTTTTTTTAAATAACAAACATGTCATACTTACCCGCACTGTGCAGTGGTTTTGCAGAGAGCAGCCCCAATTCTCCGCCTGCTATGGGGGCACTTGTACGTACTTGCTCCTGAGCCGGCTCTGTGCATCCTTTTACACACAGAGAATGGCTTGGCCCCATCCCCTGCTCCCTCCCTACTGGCAGTGATTGACACTAGAAGGAGCCAATAGATCCCACTGCTGACTTTTTGTCCAATGAGGAAGAGAGACGCTGCTCTCGTGCACATTGCTGATAGAGATTGGTTTCAAGTACGTATAAACAGGGATGGGGGGAGCTGCACACTGAAGGTTTTTTTACCTTAATGCAATAGGGACAGATACAAGAATACCTATACACTACTGCCACCATTCCACCAAATAACAAAAAAGCAAAATCTGATTTTCCCTGCTCTATTCAGAAGTGGGAAGAAAAGACACAAGCAAAAAGCTTTGCCTAACGACTTGTATTATTATAGCATCAGGAATAAAATTTCCAATGTGTTAAACCTGCCAAGGCTCAGGATAAGTAAAATACAGCAGATCCTTTGAATGTGAGTGAAATTTGGTAGGCCAAGTATCTACTTGGTTTTAATACCTATTCCATGGAAAGATCTGGCCAGTTCCCCACCCACCAGCTGAAACAAGGAAGAGTAAGGCCTCTTTCACTTGGCCAGGTTGGTGCATTCTCTGGATTCCAATGGCAGAATCTTGTGGCTGGAATGACCGGGGCATGCGAAAAGCAGCAGACTGCATCCAGGCTCAGCCATCCGCAGGTAAACACTTGGTTTGCGGCTACATGCAAAAGTGGCAGCCTCTCAGTTTATATAGTCCAAATGGCCTTTGCTATTCGCATGTCCTGGTCCATCTAGCCACAAGATTTTGCCAATGGAATTTGATGAATGCACCAAACCGGCTGTGTGACGGGCCCAAGGCCATTAGTATCAAAACATAAGTAACGTGCTGACAACAGGGACAAACTACACTAATGAAACCATATACATCATGTAGCAATAGCTACACTAATTCAATATTAAAACAAATCCATGTAGTCTCCGAACTTTATCATATTCAATCAAAACCAATTAACTGTTGCAATTTCAGCACCCACAAACATCATGGTTAACAGAATAAAACCACTAGAAAGTGAAAAAATGTAAAATTAAAGCTGAAAGCTTACAACTCACCAAAAAGATAAAAGGCAGTTCACACTGAAACTGCTACATTCAGGGTGTGGGTAAATTTCCACTAAATTGCTCTTCTGAGTGAGGTTATACTGTATATCCTAAATGGGAACACACATAGCAGCAGAGATGACAGTGGTTCTAGCCTTTTCTTAATCAGCCCATAGATGATGCTATTTTCTTCCCTTCAAATCACGGGAATCCCTCCCTCAGTGCTTTTGTATTCTGCCAGTGGGGAGTCTTCTCCGACGGCAAAATACAAATGATCACTGCTGGTGGCTATAGCCACCAGAAATAATCACGTGCAAAAAAATCAGACAAGCTGGTTGTAATAAAGTCGATCGATGGATTGACTTCAGTAGAACCAGCCAGCACACAGATGGGTCAGATCTCGGCTGGCCACTGCTTAACCTGCCCAGGAATTCAGTCCATCTATGGCAGGCTTTACTCAAAAGCTAAATAGAAAATAAATTTGGCTAGTATTGGACTTTAGGAAAGCCAAAAAACGGTGTTAGGACCACTGCAATCTCCCTCTGTCAATTGGGGGACCAAACCGTGCCATACTTCATCTAATCTGACCCCCAATCCTCCTCTTAGCTTCTCTTGAAATGTAACTAAGCTTAGCCATATGTCCTTAGTTGCTCGTAGGTACAGCAAAGTGCTATGAACGCTGGCTTTCGTAATGATCAAATTGTATTTAAATCCGAAAACAAAGTATTCCAATCCTTAGAGGTGATGGTTTCATTCATTTTCTCACTTTTTATTTTTACCTGCCATTAACTCACTTCCTGTGCTAGGGCAACTACACTGCTCAAAAAAATTAAAGGAACACTTTGAAAACACATCAGAACTCAATGGGGAAAAATATCATGCTAGATATCTATACTGATATGGACTGGGTAATGTGTTAGGAACGTAAGGATGCCCCATCATTTGATAGAAAGGAAAATGATCAACCTACACAGGACTGAATTCAAAGACACCTCGAAAATCAAAGTGAAAAAATGATGAACTCTGTTTCTGATTGTTTGGTCAGAGACATTCACACCAGTGGCCTGCTGGAGGTCATTTTGTAGGGCTCTGGCAGCGCTCATCCTGTTCCTCCTTGCTTAAAGGAGCAGATACTGTTCCTGCTGATGGGTTAAGGACCTTCTATGGCCCTGTCCAGCTCTCCTAGAGTAACTGCTTGTCTCCTGGAATCTCCTCCATGCTCTGGAGAGTGCTGGGAGACACAGCAAAATTTCTGGCAATGGCATGTATTGATGTGTCATCCTGGAGTAGTTGGACTTCCTGTACAACCCCTGTAGGGCCCAGGTATTGCCTCATGCTACTAGTAGTGACACTGATCCTAGCCAAATGCAAAACTAGTAAAAAAACAGTCAGAAAAGATGAGTAGGGAAAAAATGTCAGTGGGCTCCACCTGTAAAACCATTCCTGTTTTGGGGATCGTCTCATTGTTGCCCATCTAGTGCACCTGTTAATTTCATTAACATCAAAGAGCTGAAACTGAACAACCACCCCCTCTGCTACTTAACTGGCCAGATCAATATCCCAGGAGTTTAATTGGCTTGATGCTATACTCTGATTAAAAAGTGTTCCTTTAATTTTTTTTTTGAGCAGTGTATATTGAGTAGGGATGCACCAATACAGGTTTTTTTATCAGCGAGTACCAATACCGAGTACTTGCCGATACCATGTACCAATACTCTGTGGTGCAATTTATGTTAATGGACACAAATTGCACCGCACAGAACAACATGCGATTTGAACAGGAATACGATTCCTGTCCAAATTGCATGCAGTTTCCCCACTGCTCTTGTGTGAACCTAGGCTTGTACAAACCTGGGTTCACACAGGAGCAGTGGGGAAACTGCATGGAATTTGGACAGGAATCATATTCCTGTTCAAACTGCATTTTAACCTTTGCAGTGCAATTTGTGTCCATTAATGCAAATCACACTGCAAAGTATCGTTTAAGGTATCGGAAGTATTTTAATGAGTATGAGTACTCATGAAAATACTCGGTATCAGCGTATCCAAAATATTGAGCAGTGTTGTCACTTTAAGACAGGGAGTGTGTTAGGACTACATAACACCTCTCCCTCTTCTCCATAACAGGGGGAGGTGATTTGTAGTTTACAGAGATAGCAGGGAACAATGCTGATAACAATCCCTAGGAAGACAGCACATTAAATATCAGCTTACAAGATTGGCTGGATAAACAGCTGTTTTTTTTTTGCACTTGAACAGGAATAAAAAAAAATGCTTTATATTTAACAGACCAAAAGGGAGTGAACAGGGAGAGGTCTATGCAGTGTGACCTCAAAAAAAAACTTTGCCAATGTCCTGTCATGTGAAGGTACCAGCCTATAACTCAGGGTCTATGAATACTCAGCCTGCGTCCTGTACTGTACAATTTAAATACTTATTTAGCGTTTACATACACTTCAATATAAAAGTGTTTTTTTTTTTATATATCTACTTTGATTATGATCATGACGAAAAAAAAAACAAAAAAAACAAAACAAAAACAAAAAACAAAAAAAAAACAAAAAAAACCCTGTTATGTTAGTCTGATACACACAAAAACATTGCATATACATCTTGTGTTATTTTGGCCAGCAGATGGAGCACTTGTCTCCTTTTCAAAGTTCAATCACACAAAACACAGCCTGAAAGCCAACCCCATAGAGCCTGCAAATCGTTCATGTTTGAATATTCATTTGTGAAGCAAAGAAATAGTTACAAAAAACAATTTAAAACACTAAAAGTATAGTTGATTCAAAACCTTGATAGATGCCCTTTAAAACCCAAGCTCACTTAGGCCTTATGCACACTGGGCTTAAAATGATACCACTTTTGAAGAAGTTTTGGATTTTTTTAGCCTGTAAAAGCACCTCTATATAAGCCTAGGTGTCCATGCACACACATGCGTATGCAGGCGTATCTAAAGAGGAGCATTTACAGGATGGGGGGGACCAAAAGGTGTGCTCAGGAGAAGAACTGAAAAGTAGAAAGAATGCTGAATGTGTCTAAAGGTGCCTAAACGCTAGATGCATCGGGCGTTAATGCATTCCAATGGCCAGAATAAATGTAATATTTTGGCCAATGGAATCCATTAATGGTCAAACGCTTGGCGTGCCTAAACCCATGTGCAATGCCCAGCTTTAGAATAATTCACACGGGCAGAAAAAAACTTTGCCTGCAAGAATCTCTCTTTTGTGTAAAAAATACACATCTAAATGCAAAGCTTCAAGATCCTGTGTAAAATACACGCCTAAAGCACTTGCATGTATGTGCATACATTCTGCAGCTGTGTCCTACTTTTTTTGTGCATGGCTAAATGCAGCACCGATTTTTGACACAGCTGTGTGTATGGGCTTTTTGATTACTATAGTGCTGCGCTGCTACACTCATCTAAATGCAGTGTTTTTTCTGCCCGTGTGAATCAACCCTTAGGCACTGGCGTTAAGAGGGGCTTGTAGCAATTGTGCATACAGAGATGGACACATCCACCTTGCTAAGGATCCTCCATCTTGTATCATTTCTACTCCCAAATCAGCTTCCCTCCAATTTCCCCCCTCCCTCAGAAATGTGGTCTGTATGATGCAGAGATCACAGGCACAGTGGGAGAGCTTCAGGGTTATAAATCCCACACTAGCTGGTGCCCAGGTGTCGGTCAGCTTCCCAATCGGAGATATCGTAAAACCATAAACCAGTCCTTCACTGAGCTTCAAAGACATTCCAGCTAGCTGTAAAACAGACTCATGTTTAAAAATCCCCTTTCCATATAATTTTATATCTGGAGATATGGAAGACTTACAAGGAAACCAGGTATATATTCAGATCGGTCACTTTAATACAAGTCGGCTGATATATTACACCCCCTAGCTGAAATCTGCAGGAGAGCAGAAAATAATATCTCCTTAACCGTCCCAAGCAGGTATGTCATATTTAATATCTAGACGTTCAGCAGATGCTTCTGCACATTAATCTACTAGTGGCAAGGCTGCTACATACACCGAGGGTAAGTTATGGATCATGATATAAACTGGGAGGGATTCTGGTTCTAGCTTGGGTCTCCGCCTGCAACACCCTCCCCAAATGAGGCGATTGGTTCTCTGCTTCAAGGAGACACCCTGCTGAGTTCCTAGAAAGGCTGTGATGCTTGGAGCAGAGAGTTAAGTTAAGTTGTGTAGGTCGTGTTGAAGTTGAAGAATCCTCCCTTTTAACATCGGAACCAACTTTGGGAGATAAGGCACCCTTTTGGCTCAGGAAACTTGATCTGCTTAACCCAGGACTTTTGGCAAGTACTCTCTCTCTCTAAACTTCTGTTATCTCTTTGCTGTGTTATTGCTCTCTGTATATTTGTGTGTGTGTGTGTGTGTGTGTGTATATATATATATATATATATATAGATATAGATATATAGATATATATATATATTGTCTACATCTTTTTCTGTAAATATTTTTATTGCACCCTTTGACTTTTTTAGTAATAAATCTACTTTCTGAAAGTGTTGAACTGTTTCCAAAGCTCTTCAATGCAAACTAAGAATCCCTGCCTCTGACGAGCGCTACTGTGTGTTTTAAAACGTTTGCATACATCTGCCGCGGTGACATTGTGTATACAAACATCATAGTGTTATTGCTAATATTGCCGAGTTTCCTCCTATTCTGTACAAAAAGGTGGTGGTGGCAGTGTGAAGGGTTAATTGCGTAATTAACCTGACCCAGTAACAATCGCTCTCAGGCTGCAGGTACACAGATTGTGGTCCATTAGCTGGAAAATCTTTGTGCAGGGTGCAGCTGGGTGTGGCATTGTTACGCACGTGAGAGCGCTGTTTTAGATTGGCTAGTCCTTCCGTCACGAGTTTGGTGAGAAGGGCTGGGGTCTGACGCTGCGATCGTCACAGGGCTAAACAGATGCCCTCTGTGTGCATGAGGCTTAACTGAAGGGAGGAATCTGGACAGTCATACTGGTAATTCTAAGAACAAAGGTATACTGCTCAGGCAAACAATCCAGATCAATCCACAACAGGTGCAGGCTCTGGCTCGCCACCACACACGATGCAATAGGAAGAAGGGTCAGCCGCACACCGGAGCATAGATGAATATAGTGTGTATTTATTGATCCATAGGACACACAAAACACCAGGCATGAATACAGGACCTGTTAACGCATTTTCACACGATCTTGTGCTTAATCATAACCAATAATTAAGCACGAGATCGTGTGAAATGTGTTAACAGGTCCTATATTCATGTCCTGGTGTTCTGTGTGTCCTATGGATTAATAAATACACACTATATTCATCTATCCTCCGGAGTGTGGCTGACCCTTCTTCCTATTGCATACTGGTAATTCTGTTGCTATTTCATGTGCTGCTCATACTGAGACCACTCATACACACATTCACATGATTATTTAGCTGCAAGAGATGCTGGGACAAGTAGTTAAAAAATCTTCAGTGATATTTACAAGCAGATCAGCATTTTTACCCCTAATTTCTGAGCTGCTGCACACGACCAGAGGGTGCAGATTCAGCACTTAATTACCAGCCTTTAGGTATGTTTTTTGCCTAGGGCAGAAGGAAAGTCTAAAATCAATTTCCTTCAGTCCAGTGTTATAAAAGACTGTCTTCTTCATGGTATGTTCCACTTACCTGTGATAAAGGCGGTTCATGCAGGTCTAGCTGTAATCTCTGTACCACTTCTAAGAAGTCTTCAGCATGAAAACATATTACATCTTTGGTTATCCGAGGTTGCTCATTCCTAAAAAGGACATCGATGTTTTACAAGCGGTGAAATTGCAGTTACATTTAGAAGACTCCTATTAATATTCCTTAAACATGAGGTCAAAAGAGAGAGCAAACGTTTGTAGGTTCACACTACAGTCACCATGTACTGAGAAGTCACAGGGTAGCAGCAATGGCACCTCTGCATTACCAACTCATAAATGTAATTACAAATTCTTTACATGTCATAGCAAAAATAAAAATGATACATTCTAATTATTTTTAATTATAAAAAAAATATACATATTTATAACCTAGATGACAGTTTTTAACCTGTTAAAATGTAATGTTTATTGCATGCACCAACTCCTTGCTGAGACTCACACTCTGGTAATCTTGCAGTCTTACAAGTGGCTGTGAGTGTAAATACCTATCTTATAAGAAGGATCCTAATACTTGATGTCCAGTTTTGTGATACAAATGTGCGTACTACATGCTATTGTCTAGCCATATCTACTCTTTGGGCTTTCTTTGAGTAGTTTACAGTTTTAAACAGGCAAGAATAGCTGCAATCCTAAAGATGCCCACAAATGAAAGATGACAGTTCCTCAATCTGGGAAATGGCAAGTTTTTTTTTGTTTTGTTTTTTCACAGGTGTGCTCCTTTACAGCAATAATTCCTTGTCCTTCTTGGGAAAGATCTACTCCAATTGATTACCCCAGTGAAAGGCAGGTGTTTGAAAATAACAATGGTACTAGGTTATGTCCAGAATGCAAACATGAACACTTGACTTAAACGAGCATGTACACTGATCAATCATAACATTGTGACCACCCACCTAATATGGAGTAGGTCCCCTTTTGCTGTCACAACAGCCCTGACTCATTGAGTAATGGACTCCACTAGACCTTTGAAGGTTTGCTGTGGTATCTGGCACCAAGCCATCAGTAGCAGATCCTGTAAGTTGGGAGGTGGGCCTCCACGTCAACAACCTCAAAGACACGGTCTTCCATTGCTTCATGGTTCAGTTCTGATGCTCAAATGCCTACTGTTGTCCCCTTTGGCGGTGGACAAGAGTCAGAATAGGTACCCTGACCAGTCTGCAGTCCCATACGCAACTAATTGAGATGCACTGTTCTGACACCTATCAGAAACAGCATGAACTTTTTCAGCAATTTGTTCTACCATAGCTCATCTACTGGATTAGACTACACAGACCAACGTTCGCTCCGCATGTGCATCATTGAGCCCTGACTGCCCACGACCCCATCACTGGTTCCCCGGTTTCTTTTCCTTGGATCACTTCTGGTAGGTCCTGACCACTGCAATCCAAGAACATCTCACAAAAGCTGCAGTTATGGAGTCAGTCTGACCCAGTCAGAAGAAGAATGAACACACAGAGTTACACAAGCCAACAGTTGGGATGATGGTCTGCTGTGTTATAATGGAGAGTTTTGATTTAACATTGGCTAGGTGCTCTCTTGTGACAGCTACATTAGCAAAAACTCCACACTGCAGTGCATGGCTTCTCTGTCTCCTTGCATCCACAATTAACCTTCACTTCAACCAGTCCACGGCTAACCTACGTGTGAAATAAATCTGTAACGGTGCTACTACAGCACAGATCTGGGTACATTTTATTAATATGACAAATATAAAACATACTATGCAACTATAAAATCTTTGTATGAAGTCAAACCCTTTTTTAACTCAAGAATATCTACCATACAGAACGGATAAAGCTCTGCATTCATTACCTGACCCAGCAAAATACTGTTGGCATCAAACTTGGGATAACTATCAGCTGGAAACTGGTCTAGCTCCATTTGGTAAAGCAACATATATAATTGAAAATATTGCCACTAGCTAAGTATTCATAATTTGCATTCTTCTTCTAATGAGCACAGTTCTCTACACCGTTCCCACCTATTTATTTTTTTTGTGCAACCAAATTAGAGTTAAATTCCAAGTTTGGGCTTTTTGGGCATTTTCAATAAGGTTGTAACACTCCAAAATGTGGAAAAGTCCAGGGGATGTGAATACTTCTGCAAGTTACTTATACACATTTTTATTGGGACAAAATAAATCTACATTTCTGCCCGAATAAAACTTCATCCTGTATACTTTACACTGGTAACAATAAAAAAAACACATAAAACTAATTTCAGTGGTAGATAATATAACATTTTCTAAATATTACAGCTGAAAGGGTGAAAGATGAATCTATTCAAAAAATAAACTTAAAAACAACACCTAAGGTCTCATTCACACTGGCTTTCCTGCTTTTAGCTTTTCTAAATGCATAACACAAGTTATCTAGGTATAAACAACTTATACCACTTTTTTCCGGTGTTTAAATGCTTTTGCTTTATAAAAGGTTTAGCTAAGTTGCATTTATTTTCTAAAAACACAGTGAAACGGACTACACTTAAACGCAGTGTACTTGGCACCATGGAGGAATCATACATGCCATTTATATGCCTTTAGAAATATCCTCTAAAAGCAAGTTCAACAGTGACCGTATGAATGAGACCTATTAGAGAATTACAGGATTCCAGGAACTTCAAAATGACTCATTTGAGGCAGCTTGGACCAAGCAAATTATCTGCATGCCAGAACGTACTAGCTGCTGCTTAGTCTGTAACATACTGTGGTAGTTTGTGTATTATGCAGTAAGTCGCGCCGAATTCTGGCAGCAGCACCAGCAACTTCCCCTCTACTGCTGAATATAGAGAGCCACCTATACCATATGTTTGTTATTTAGGAGAAGTCTTTCAGTAAATGCAAGATGGTATAGGATCCTCCTGCGCTCATGGGAAGTAACTGACTGGATACAGCTGCTGTCACTTAACTAATACCAATAAGTGCAAAAAATAAACATAAAATTAGTGAAGCGCTTGTATCACATGAATACAATCATGTATCTCCATAAAGTATAATTTTAAATCAAAGTGACCACTATATATAATAAATATGTGTTGACTCCCTCTAGTGGAAAGAAAAATAGTGTCAACCAAAATAATTAAATATCACACATTATGAAACTAAATATATAGTGCATGAATCAGATATACTGAACAAAGTATATATACGTGAAAACAGAATAATTGGCCACATACAATGGTGTCTAAATCAAACATAAATAATATATGCCATAAGTGAAAAAAACAATATCAACAGTGAAAAAAATATTCCATGCATGTGACTGTGCTTTAAGCTGGAACACACACGTGATCTCCACTTCTAAGTGCAGGTACTCTCCTTCAAATGGCAGCAATGCCTGCTCACCTCCCTTCCTTGACCCACACAGGGCCTCAAAGCAGTTACCACCTCAGTGGTGTATTCCTCTGGCAGACTCCTTAATCCTCCTCCTCTCTTATGTAACTTTTTTCACACGGCTCCAAAAGTAGAATAAAAAGGGTGCTGCAGATCAGACCTACACAATCTGCTTCTGTAACCAAGTAACACACCTTTCTTGCTGCAGTCCTGTTTCTGATTCCTTCTCATGTTTGTCTGTGCTCTTCTATGATAGAAGAGCACAGACAAACATGAGAAGGAATCAGAAACAGGACTGCAGCAAGAAAGGTGTGTTACTTGGTTACAGAAGCAGATTGTGTAGGTCTGATCTGCAGCACCCTTTTTATTCTACTTTTGGAGCCGTGTGAAAAAAGTTACATAAGAGAGGAGGAGGATTAAGGAGTCTGCCAGAGGAATACACCACTGAGGTGGTAACTGCTTTGAGGCCCTGTGTGGGTCAAGGAAGGGAGGTGAGCAGGCATTGCTGCCATTTGAAGGAGAGTACCTGCACTTAGAAGTGGAGATCACGTGTGTGTTCCAGCTTAAAGCACAGTCACATGCATGGAATATTTTTTTCACTGTTGATATTGTTTTTTTCACTTATGGCATATATTATTTATGTTTGATTTAGACACCATTGTATGTGGCCAATTATTCTGTTTTCACGTATATATACTTTGTTCAGTATATCTGATTCATGCACTATATATTTAGTTTCATAATGTGTGATATTTAATTATTTTGGTTGACACTATTATTTTTCTTTCCACTAGAGGGAGTCAACACATATTTATTATATATAGTGGTCACTTTGATTTAAAATTATACTTTATGGAGATACATGATTGTATTCATGTGATACAAGCGCTTCACTAATTTTATGTTTATTCAGTAAATGCAAGGCTTCCTCTAATTCGCCATGGTAGAGAGGTGCTCAGATGACATTCCAAAAGAAGTAGTCTTGTATTCACTAAAATAAATGGTGGAGATGCAGGTTGTGCAACTCACTCTATATTTACCTGTAAAAAAGGAAGTTGCTGGTACTGCTGTTCAAGGAACCCCTAGCTACTCTGGGGGAACCCTGGTTAAGAAAGGCTGAACTAAAGGGTCATTACAATGCAGAACAAAATCTCCATGTTACTAGATATAATCTGAAGCTTTATGCTTATAGAGGTGAAAAGGGAATGAAATCAATATGCATGCAAAGCACCAAATAAAAGCCATCAAAGCAGTTTAATTGCAAGATGCTTACCACTCTCCACAGTGCACTGCTTTCAGTACACCTACAGCTGCGGTGGTCTGGCGCTCAAATCCCTGTCCTATGTGATCAGCATGTGCCCTTGTCCTATCTTCAAACAGCATTTCCCGAGGCTCACTAGCCCGAGGTAGGTACTGCAGGTTTTTAATTTCATTGGTAGTTCTAAAGAATAATAAAAAAAGAAGTTAAAGCACAATGTAACCTCTACATATGCCAGTTATCCAAGATATCTAACATGTTCATTATGTTGAGTACTTGAGGTTTGTGTAATTGGGAAAGACTCAATGTTCTCACAGTTCTCCCTTTAAATGGACCACTGACAATATATGGTGGACACAATCCAACCTCTGAAAGATCCTTAATCCTGTACACCAAGGGTGACACACTGGTGGCCCTCCAGCTGTTGCCAGACTACAAGTCCCATGAGGCATTGCAAGATTGACAGTTACAAGCATGACCCCAAAGGCAGAGGCATGATGGGACTTGTAGTTTCATAACAGCTGGAGGGCTGCCAGTTTGACACCCCTGCTGTACACAATCACCAATGCATGCATTTTTGTTTCTTACAAAAGTGTGTACTGTGTGCTGCTTGGATCCACTATGCCACTAGGGTCTGAGGTCAAAATGTTCCAGGTCTCCCCATAGATGATCAGTTACCAAGTTTAGTCCCTTTAGGGTGGGTCACCTTACCTCTCGTACTCCCTGATATGTACTTTTATTTTCAACCCTTTCAAAGAAAATTAAAACTAAGTGAATTCAAAGCTTTTCATTCTGAGTTTTCTATAATTTAGAAAATAGTTTAAATCCCATAAGGTTATTTCTTGCTGCATGTGTACCACTAGGAAGATATCCCTTCTCTTTTTTCCTGGAGACTCAACAGGAAGCAAAAGGAAATTTCTCCAAAGTTTTATTTGGAACTTTCAATGTTCCCTTAGTTGGCACAGGGTATTCTTAGATGTTTGAGATAACCAAAAGTAGACAACAGCCAATGAGGGATCCAACAGATGTGGGGAAAAATATGGTGGTCCTGCACTTTAGACTTACATTGCATCCAGAAAGTATTCACAGAGCTTAACTTTTGCCACATTTTGTTATGATACAGCTTTATTCCAAAATGGATTGAATGCAATTTTTCCTGCAATGATCTACAAACAATACCCCATAATGACAACGTGAAAGAAGTTCGTTTTGAAATCTTTGCAATTTATTAAAAATAAAAAACAAAAAAAATCCACATGTACATAAGTATTCACAGCCTTTGCTCAATACATTGTTGAAGCACCTATTATGCCTCAAGTCGTTTTGAGTATGATGCTACAAGCTTGGCACACCAATTTTTGGGACATTTCTCCCATTCTTCTTTGCAGTACCTCTCAAGCTCCATCAGGTTGGATGGGGAGCATCGGTGCACAGCCATTTTAAGATCTCTCCAGAGATGTTCAATCTGGTTCAAGTATGGGCTCTGGCTGGGCCACTCCAGGACATTCACAGAGTTGGCCTGTAACCACTCCTTTGTTATGTGGGCTGGGTGTTTAGGGTCGTTGTCCTGTTGAAAGATGAACTGTTTCCCCAGTCTAAGGTGCAGAGTGCTCTGGAACAGGTTTTCATCAAGGATGTTTCTGTACATTGCTGCATTCATCTTTCCTTCGATCCTGACTAGTCTCCCAGTTCCTGCCGCTGAAAAAACATCCCCAGAGCATGATGATGCCACCACCATTGGTCAGGTGGTGAGCGGTGCCTGGTTTCCTCCAGACATGAAGCTTGATACTCAGGCCAAAGCGTACAATCTTTGTTTCATCAGACCAGAGAGTTTTGTTTCTCATGGTCTGAAAGTCCTTCGGGTGCCTTTTGGCAAACTCCAGGTGGGCTGCCATTTGCCTTTTACTGAGAAGTGGCTTCCGTCTGGCCACTCTATCATACAGGCCAGACTGGTGGAGTGCTGTAGAGATGGTTGTTCTTCTAGAAGGTTCTCCTCTCTCCACAGAGAAATGCTGGAGCTCTTTCAGAGTGACCATCGGGTGCTTGGTTACCTTCCTGGCTAAGGCCCTTCTCCCTTGATCTCTCATTTATGCCTTTCCTAATCATGTCCAATCAACAGAATTTCCCACAGGTGGACTCCAATCAAATTCTGGAAACATCTTAAGGATGATCAGTGGGAACAGGATGCACCAGAGCTCAATTTTGAGTGTCATGGCAAAGGCTGTGAATACTTATGTACGTGTTTTTTTTTTTTTCATTTTTAATAAATTGCAAAGATTTCAAAACGAACTCCTTTCACGTCATTATGGGGTATTTGTAGAATGTTGAGGAAACAAAATTAATGTAATCCATTTTGGAATAAGGCTGTAACATAACAAAATGTGTCAAAAGTTAAGCGCTGTGAATACTTTCTGGATGCACTGTAAAGAGGAACTTTTGGACATCAGCTAAAGAGGTCAACAAAGGTAAAATTCTTTACTACAACCTCCTGCAAGCTAAAGTGATATACAGTTGCAAGAAAAAAAAGTATGTGAACCCCTTGGGATTACGTGGAGTTTTGCATGAATTGGGCACAAAATGTGCTCTGATCGTCATCTAAGTCACAACAATAGAAGAACACAGTCTGCTGAACATAATACTACACAAAGATTAGATGTTGCCATGGTTTAATTGCACATAACATGTAAACATTCACAGTGCAGGGAGGAAAAAGTATGTGAACCTTTGGACTTAATAACTTGTTGACCCTCCTTTGGCAGCAATAACCTCAACCAAACGTTTCCTGTAGTTGCAGATCAGACCTGCACAACGATCTGGAGTCATTTTGGACCACTCCTCTTCACAAAAACTGTTTCAGTGTAGCAATATTCTTGGGATGTCTGGTGTGAATCGCTCTCTTAAGGTCATGCCACAGCATTTCAATGGGGTTGAGGTCAGGACTCTGACCGGGCCACTCCAGAAGGCGTATTCTGTGCTGTTGCAGCCATTGTTTTGTTGAATTACTTGTACGCTTTGGGTCATTGTCTTGTTGCATCACCCATCCTCTGCGGAGCTTCAGTTGGCGGACAGATGGTCGTACGTTTTCCTGCAAAATGTCTTGATAAACTCTGGAATTCATTTTCCCATCAATGACAACAATCCGTCCAGGCCCTGAGGCAGCAAAGCAGCCCCAAACCATGATGCTCCCTCCGCCATGCTTCACAGTGGGGATGAGGTTTTGATGTTGGTGTGCTGTGCCTTTTTTTCTCCACACATAGTGTTGTGTGTTCTTCCCAAACAACTCAATCTTGGTTTCATCTGTCCACAGTATATTTTGCCAGTAGTGCTGTGGAACATCCAGGTGCTCTTTTGCAAACTTCAAACGTGCTGCAATCTTCTTTTTGGACAGCAATGGCTTCCTCCGTGGTGTCCTCCCATGTACTCCATTCTTGTTTAATGTTTTCCTTATTGTAGATGTGTCAACAAAAATGTTAGCATGTGCCAGAGATTTCTGTAGGTCTTTAGCTGACACTCTGGGATTCTTCTTTACCTCATGCAGCATTCTGCGCTGTGCTCTTGCAGTCATTTTTACAGGACGACCATGCCTAGGGAGAGTAGCAACAGTGCTAAACTTTCTCCATTTGTAGACAGTCTGTCTTATCGTGGACACATGAACATCAAGGCTTTTGGAGATACTTTTGTAACCCTTTCCAGCTTCATGCAAGTCAACAATTCTTGATCGTAGGTCTTCTGAGAGCTTTTTTCTGCGAGGCATGGTTCACATCAGACAGTGCTTCTTGAAACCAGTAAACCCAAAACAGGTGTGTGTTTTTTAAGGGCAGGACAGCTGTCAGCAACACATCCAATATCATCACACTGATTGGAGTCAAGGTTGGCTCACTCCTGGCTCCAATTAGCTCTGGGAGAAGTCATTAAGCTAGGGCATCACATACTTTTTCCTCCCTGCACTGTGAATGTTTACATGTTATGTGCAATCAAACCATGGCAACATCTAACGTTTGTGTAGTATTATGTTCAGCAGACTGCGTTCTTCTATTGTTGTGACTTAGATGACGTTCAGAGCACATTTTATGCCCAATTCATGCAAAACTCCACCTAATCCCAAGGGGTTCACATACTTTTTCTTGCAACTGTATATCAAAACTGGTTAATTAATTCAATGTGAGTGGGAACCCCCTCTTTTTCTCATAGACATAAAATGCAAAGGACAACTGTAAACAAATGTGCACACTGTAAGTGCATAAATCACTGGCCTGTGGTCAGGTGGGAGGCTGATACAAATGTTAGTCATGTCTGCATCGTAGAAGCTTTTGGAATGCATTATTCCACCTTCTCCCTGAACTAAAGCTTTCCATACATTGTACCATTTTCTTGTACAATTCTCCTTTAGATTTACCAAAACCATACATTATAAGGTCAAACAAACACTTTCAATTTGTATGCAATCAGACAGGCCTCTTGCACTACATAGGTGAAGGTAAATCTAAAGGAAGTTAAATAAGAGAATTGTATAATGTATGGCTAGTCTAACTGCTTGTATTACTAAACCTAAGCCTGCTTTGGCCATATTAAGCATAGGCGCAGAGGAATTCCGTTAAATATTGAGACCCATGGTCATGCATGAATATTTACGCTTTGTTTAACACTGGGTAAAAAGTGGAAAGTTAGTGAGGTGCCCAACATATCCATGGTTAAGACACATAGTTCTGATATATATTTCTGAAAAGATTATGGCTTACTCTACAGGCCATTCAGAGAATTTTTGTAAGGATTGGGACTATTGGACATTCTGTTACTAACCCTGCGTGAGAGCTTCCATCATATTTTATAAATATGAACGTTGAATGAGCAGCTAAATTGAAGTGACACCTTAAAGCTATAAGTCCATTTGTATGTTTTTATGTAAATGTTTTCTAACCATGCTACAACTGAGCACATTTTTTTCTTACTGAACTGTATGGTGCAATCCTTAAAAAGGTACAACTGTTAAATTGCCATTTTACTTAAGATATATGTACTGTCATTGATACGATGTTGCAGTCTTATGCTCTTGGAAATAATATCTTTATCTATACCTCCTTTATCAAGTTGTGTTAATGAAGTTTGTAGTGCATTTCATGCACCATTATTTTGTACCGTGTTTTTTTTTTTATTTTATGATAAAACTTGATAAAAACTATTAA